ATATATTAGATGATCATCTAAGTAAACACTTCTTAAAAAATCCAGCACAATGGGGTTTTGCAAAGGGCCTCTCTGCGGAAGGAGTGCTTTTGTCATTGAAAAACAGATGGACGATGGAAGTGGATAAAGGTTTGACTGTAGGAGCAATATTTGTAGACTTTAGAAAGGTTTTCGACAGTCTCTCTCACAACATCCTTTCACTCAAGCTACAAGCTGTGGGTATTTGTGGAAACCTCCATGAATGGTTGATGAATTACATGAGCGACAGGTGTCAATGCACCCTGGGCTGAAGGGCTACATATTCGACTTGACTTTGGTTCAGTATGGAATTCCTCAGGGTTCTCTGCTCGGACCAAGACTTTACACTATTTATGTAAACGACCTACCTGATGCTATCACACTTGGAAATGTACTTATGTATGCAGATGACACTACACTATATTGTATTGGGAAAAGCTTTGATGAGGTCTGTCTTAATCTGAACAAAGTCATTGATGAATTAAGACTCTGGAGCCTAAGGTCTAAGATGAGCATCCACCCCATTAAAATTGAGGCCATGATTCTTACTAAGCAGGGTTTTATTGGTCCTGCTGCCCCAATATTGTTTGGAAACAAGTATGTCAACGTTGTGGATCATACTACTCGTTCAAATAGGACTGACTATTGACAGCTGTTTGTCTTGGTCAAAGTATGTTTGCCATATAAAGAAGCCGTTCTCACAAAAAGTTGGTGCCTTAAAACGTATGAGTTTTAAAGTATTAGAGGAAATTTATTTTAAATCCATTATACCAGCAGTGATATATAGTAAAGTTGTGTGGGGGAATTGTAGTTCTGCTATGCTCAACTCCTTGAATCCTATACATGATAGAGAAGCAAGGTTAATTCACGATCAAGATGATCTTTTAAGTCTCAACTGGCTTCCCTTGTCATATTTCTATAATAGACGCTTACTGCTGTTCATGTTTGATGTTATCAAACATAATGTTCCTGACGACCTTGCATCTTTATTTACTTTAAGGTCTGGTAGTAGACTTTCACGAAGGGGAAGCCAATTCGTTATTCCACGTGTCAAATATGAAATTGGCAAACAATTTATTCAATATAGAGGACCAACAATTTGGACATTTCTTAATAGATTAATTAATATAAATGAGTCGATGAGTAAAAACAAATTCAAGCGAATTTTGCGTAGATTTTCCAAAGACATTAATAACTTCTCATTTTGAGCTTCTATGATAGCTAATAAACACGATAACTGTGTATATTTTTAATTTGTTTTTATTCATACATTTTACATCATCCTACTTTTATTTAATTTATTTTAGGCAGGTCCACATCAGCTTTTTGCTGCCATTGTATGTAACTTAACCTGCTTTACCAAATAAATGTATGTATGTATGTATGTATGTATGTATGTATGTATGTATGCCTGACAGCCGAGGATTTTAAATTTTGTGACGATAGGTTTTCGCACCCAAACTGGGCAAATGAACCTTCGCGGACGGCACAACTGGGGAAATTAACTCGGTAGACACCACTCGGCAGCGAGAACGGAAACTCTTCATGATTTCCTGGTACATGGAGATCTACTTCTAGCGTC